AAAACCTGTTTGAAGTACATGTACACTATCTATTATCTAAGGCCACACCAATTTAATTCTTGGTTAACGGATTCGCCCGCTTCATTTTTTTCTGATTTGCAAATAAAATAAAAATTCAGAATCAACTGCAAAATGCTCATATTTTGCCCTGAACAGTTGAAAACAGTCCTTTTCATCCTAGTTGTTACAGTTATTCCATCTTTCAATGCTATGGGATCATTAAAAGTTCAAAATTCCTTATTTAAATTTTGAACCAGCCTGGTGTGTTGACTTCATGGCTCCTATCGTACCATTTTGGGCCATAATAGGATGCCTAGGCCTGTTTTTATTTTTATTTTTTTCCGCCCGCCCTCTCCATTATTTTTCTAGAAAAATCCGTTAACCAAGAAATTAAATTGGTGTGGCCTAGTAATCAATCAAAGTTTAGGGGAAATCCTTGGTTCATTAAAGGTGGTAGTGGAAATTATGGAATTCATATCCAGCTGTAAATGTGTTACTAGGATATAAAGTGGTAATGATACCATGCTGTTAACTTTTAATTTCACTTTAGCTAGCATAATCACTGTGATCATCTTAGGTGTTGAAAACAATTAATTGCAGCTGAGGATTATGAAGTTATATTTTCAATTATGTTCTACTGTGTCAGAGGGATGTCAGATCCAGGTCATTGACCTTATAATTAAGTGTTTGGAGAAGAAGAAGAAGAAAAGTCATTACCTTATAATTGTCTGTTTGAGAAGAAGAAGAAGAATCAGGGCAAAAACAATATATTTTCCTTCTATTGAGGTAAATATTAAGTCTAAATGCTCCAGAAAATGAACCATAAACTTGTTTTCCCCTTCAGATATCCCTGCTGGTCTGAGTAAGGAAGATATGGAGAGCAGACTGCAGGGTAAGGTACCTTTCCTTGGTGCTGAAATCTGTGTGAGTCTTCCAATGCAAGTAAATAGTGCAGACCGAGATTTGTGCATTACCACATGAATAGTTGTTCTCTCCTTGGTTCTGAAAGCTCTGTGAGGCTTTTCCACTGCAAGAAAAATGTTCAGACAGAGATATGTGCATTACAATATAAATGAAGCTGTTCTTTCCTTGGTACTGAAAGCCCTGTGATACTTTTCCACTACAAGAAAAAAGTTCAGACCGTGATTTGTGCATTGCCATATAAAGAGAGCTGTTCTCTCCTTGGTGCTGAAAGATCTGTGAGTTTTCCACTGCAACTAAAAGTTCATACAGAGATGTGTGCATTACCAAATGAATGGAGCTATTATCTCCTTGGTGCTGAAAGATCTGTAACTCTTCTCCACTTCAAGTAAAAAGTGCAGAGATTTGAGCATTGAGCAGCACCAAGGACTGTCCTGTCCTTGGTGCTGAAAGCTCTGTGAGTCTTCCACTGCGACTTAAAAGTGTAGACGATTCAAGTAAAGCTGTTCTCAATAGTGAGGATATATTGAATACACTTGGGTCCTTCCCCTGTGGATTTTGTTTTGCGTCCTTGACACTGAATTTGCCACTGATTCCTTATCTAGAATCGCTGCCTTCTCTCTTAGGAAATGATGTATTTCGTTGGATATCTAGTTGAGATAACAGTAGCCTACTCCATTCCTCTATTGGCTTTTAACTTGTGACTGTTATTTGTTGTTGTGCACTCGTGGAGAAAAATCTAAGCCCGCCATTCTTCACAGCAGTTGCGCTTGATACTTTTTGCTTTGCAGAAGTTCTAGCTAAGCTTTCAAAAAAGTTCCTTAACCAATCCTCTGTAAGGCAGTGTGCGTGAAATGAGGTTGACTTGCTTTGATCAAACTGGAATTCATTCTGCTGTGCTTCCAATGGTCCAGTAAACTTCCATGCAAACCATTTTTTACGCAATAGGTTAGCTTGATGATTTATAGGTTGGCTTTGCAGTACTTCTATACAAGGTTACAGAACCAATTTATCTTGACAAAACTTGCGTTCCTTGTAATTCTTTGCTCACTCAATACACGGAGATCATAAATCCACCCTTTCTTCATACCAGTGAGGCTGGGTGCTTTGAACGTATACTTTGAAGCGGAACTATGTTGCTTGCCTGGAGGAACTTTCTTCACAGCCACATGCTTTGTGTCAATGTATCAGTTGAAGCCATCCTCCAGATCTACAAAACTCCATTACCATGGCTTAATGTGATTAAGCAGGTTGTCATTGTGTGTAGCTCTCAAAGACAGAATTAAGTCCTACCCTCTTCTTGCCAGGGATTTAGTGGGATTTTGCTGATGCGTTCAATTCCAGCTATAGAAATAATCTTGTCAGTGCCTGTCAAAAGAATCAAGATTGAAGAGACAGCTATGAGAATCTGATGAAAGGAAAGCCTGTTTCAATGAGAACTCCCTTGAAGAAAAGTGTCACCATGCTGGATATAGTTTGTGTGAATTTCACAACAACTGTTTTGAATCTCTCCCCTCTAGTACCTTTTCCCAAGTGACATAATTCATTTGTATTTGCATAGCCTTATAACATGTAACTCTAAACATTGTTTAAAGCTATCTAGTAATGATGTCCCTACTGTACTTGGTGCATCCACCAGTTTATTAGTCATGATTTAGTCATAGTCTGGACATTTTTTGCCAGTGTTCCAGTGACCCCACTGTAGGTTTCTTTTTATTTCCTTCACAATAGCACCCCATTCATAGCTGTTTGTGCATAATCTTACAGCTTGATTCTGTACCCTTTCCAGCTTATCTTTGTCTATTTTGATGAAATGGATACATTACAGATTCATAGTTGTTCGTACAGAATCTTGCAGCTTGATTCTGTACCCTTTCCAGTTTATCTTTGTCTTTTTTTGATAAAATGGTTACATTACAGATATGTGCCTGAAGGATCTGAACCTGTTGTCCCGGATTGACCTGGTCAAAATGGATGAAGAGGGTTTTGACCTTCAAGCCCACAGGTGATCAAACATTTCCAAACAAATGCCAAAAATTCAGCATAGAAAAGTATATTTCTATAGACCATTTTACAATGAAATAGCATATCTTACATAACATGTACAACAATAGATGATAATAGAATGATACAATATAGTCAAAGAAAAGTATCTGACATGTTACCTTGAATTTGGGCAAATTACTTTTGTGAGCCAATCCATACACATGTATTTACCATAATATACATACAATACGCTGGTGAAGGTTAGACATCCAGGTAATAAGATATGCCCAAAAAACAGTTACTCAAGCAACTCGATATGATTTTGGAAACGGTCAGACGTTTTGTCAAACCTGCTTTTCTGAGAATTCTACATTTCACTGATGAATGGTAGTGTGCGCTACCTGAAACGTCTGGCCGTTTCCAAAATCATATCCAGTTGCATGAGTAACTGTTTTTGGCATACACATACAATAGATCAATAAGTAGAAATCCGTTGGAGTTATCCCTATAGTGCCACAATTAATCATCTTACTGTATGGTAATAATGACCTAAATACTGTTGATGTGAACATTCTTATTCCCCTGTAGAGGTTGGGAGGCTAATGGCGAGATACTGTATCACATATGACACCATGAACAAATTCAACAGCCTGGAAGGCACGGAGAGTCTAGGGGACCTGGTAAGCACTTTGTCCACGCTATATGTCATAGAGTTAAAACAGTCATCTTTCGTCAATGATGATAGATACTCAAGTTATTCCATTCTTGTCAAAAAGCCCACAGAATCAAATCAATCATTTGATTGATTGATGGAAGGGAAAGAGGGTCAACTGAATTTTCTGAAGAAGAGGCAATGTGGTGAAGAACTGGCACCTTGTAAATTTGTCTTGTGAGGACACATAATTTTTTTAGTAACTGTGATTGTGTACAGTATGTGTACATCTATTTTATTTTACTGTAGTAGAACAACCATATATATTCAGCCATCATATTGGTGCTATTTGTCATACTTCATCATATTGTGTGGAAAATCAAAACATGTCATGATTTTCAAACTCATGATAAAGAATCTTAAAAGGAAGTGAATGAATGGCTTTATTACAAAATATGACAGGCTGATCACTCTATTTCCTCAGCCACTATGCCTTTGTAATGGATGATCCATTCCTTTTCTGCACTACTTCCACTGATCACAATACCCACTACAGGGATTATGTTATAATACTGTCGATATCTGTCACTATAAGTGAGGTCATGTGGCGCAATGGCAGAGTGCTCGACTCAGAACCAAGAGGTCCTGGGTTTGGGTCTTGACATGTCACTGATCTTGTGCCCTTGGAAAAGGCTTTTTACACGACTTTCCTCAATTAACTCAAGTGAAAATGAGTATTGTCTTGTCCTTTCTATGTGTGGGCACAACACCAGCAACTGCTGCCTGTGTCCCAAATGTATTGTACTGTTACAGTTTCAATAAATCAAATCAAATCTGTTGTCGCAGGTCAATACTGTTTCTGGCTGTAAAGAGTTCCAGGATGTGACACTGCGGATCAATGAAAGGAAAACTCTGAACACCCTGAACAAGGACAAGCACAGGGCCACTGTCAGGTCAGGGCAAGATCTAGCACTTTCACAAAAATATCTGGGGATGAATGTGTTTACCCAAATCATCAATACTGTACTGCTGTTTGTGTTGATCATGTAGGAACTATGATATATCTGAAAAGCTCTGTGAATTTGTCTATGCAAAAGAGGAGAGACCTTGAAGATATATTATTAGACGTAATATAGTTGTGTAATTCTTTCTCTGTCAGGTCAGTGCAATTGATCTATCACTTTGAAAAAAAATATCTACATGTACTACGATGTAGGGATGAATGGGATACTATGTGTGGACCCAAATCATCAATAGTGTATGGCTCTTGTTCTGGACCATCTAGGTGATATGATATATCTGAAAAGCTCTGGAAATTTGTCTAATAGTATGCGTGTACATGTATGAAAAAGAGAGAAGAGACCTTGTAGATATAGACATTACATAATATACTAGTAATTCTTTCTCCTAAGTCAGTTACAATATATTTAACCTGGTGCATTTGGTCCATGTAGGGCGTGTATATGCTTCAATGTCATTGTCATTACTTTGTGACAGTGCCTTAATTCAGTAATACGATTTGACAAATTTGTTGCAAGTACAAAAGGCCTGTGATCTATCATAATATTACATAATAGCATATTTAGTTTTTGCATATGCTCTTTGATACTGACAGTAGTCATGAAGTCTAGAAGTTCAATCTTTGAAAATCTGTAAATTTCTAAGAAGTCCATATGAGGTTCTGAATTGCGTAAATCTTTCAAAAGGCAAGATCTTCTGTCTAATGAACTGCCTATTGTCTTTACATCAGCTTTGCAGCGTAGCCACGGAGTCTACAAGTTCAACCTTGGAATAATCTAGAAATAGCCAAGATGAAGGTGTCGTTAAATAAGCTTCTGATTTGTGGAAACATCGGTAATGGCAGAGGATTCTGTCTTAATGACTGTCTATTGTCTTTCTCCTAGGTTTGCAATGGATGGAAAGATAAAGACGGGACAAATGAAGGTCAATTGGTAAGCACTTAAAGTTCTTCACTTTGTCAGTTTAATGTCTTGATCAGTAAGAGTCTATCCTTAAACAGTGCCCTTCCTTGACCCCACTGTTGTGCCTTCAGCGTTGACAGATTGATAGTAATGCTGAACTGTGGGAACAGAAGGGCTCACGGTGTACAGAGATCAGAGAGCGCCGCACTTGAAACCATGCCAGGTCGTATTGACTTATGCGGACCGATCCCCCCTTTATTACTCAAACGCGACTCCTGATACCGTTTGCCGCCCGAATATCGACCAGGTGTCAAGTACGTTGTAATGTGATGTCAGAATTTGTACGGCTGCCAGGAGAGATCAAGGGGGCGTCCAGTAACCTGTAACGTCACCATGAGTGGTGATTCCACACTGCCACAGATAGTGCCAGGGGCAGGGGCTATCTCTGTGTTGATGAGTGAAGAAAAAAGCTTGAGGATTGGAAAAAGCCCTGGGACGTATTGGTTAAGTCCTTTGGCTAAGTGGGTTCTGTTTTTCAACTCGACGAAAATGAATTCTTTCAAACAGAACTTTGTTTCTCTGTTCTTAGAGCTGCTTGTTTTAGTAGATTCTTTATTGGCTTGACAAAAGAACAGGGACCTTCGTATGGTCTACTACAATGTGGATCGAACAAAGCTACAGTAAATACATGTACAATGTATGAATAAAGTCATCCTACTTACAGAATATACCTATATGGCAAACTATGTACAGAATATAAGTCAGTGGCAACATTAGATGATCAAGGGGGCGTCCAATAACCTGTAACGTCACCATGAGTGGTGATTCCACACTGCCACAGATAGTGCCAGGGGCAGGGGCTATCTCTGTGTTGATGAGTGAAGAAAAAAGCTTGAGGATTGGGAAAAAGCCCTGGGACGTATTGGTAAAGTCTAGCTAAGTGGGTTCTGTTTTTCGACTCGACGAAAATAAATTATTTCTAACAGTGCTGTCTTTCTCTGTTCTAAGAGTTGTTTTATTAGTTGTCAACTTAGGCTATTAGTCTGTTTTGAACCTTTTAAAGCTTTCTCTGTTATGGCTAGAAGTTTTCATGTACTGGACCAGGTGTAACTTTTGATTTTTACATTTTACGTGTTACAGCCTTATCCAAGCAGCTCTTGGCTGCCTTCCAATCCAAGACTTTGGTCTCAACCAAGACACCAACAAGATTTTCAGGGCAGGGACTAGGGTCTCCAAATGTATGTCTGAATTGATTCACATCTTAACACTTAGTAATGTAGATGCCAACTGGTGTACCTTTTATTTTGAAGCTTCATGACTTCAATCAGCTTCTGTGAAGAAAGATGTTAATTGATCCGCTTAAAGAGTTACAATAAGACCATTCAATACATGTACCTTGTATGATGATAACCTTTATGCACTATGTAGTAACCCTTCAGCAAAAAGTAAGAAATTGTCTTCTTCATAATTCGTTAAACATATTCGGCCCTCTAAATCTATTATTATAATAATAATAGTTTATTTTTTCAGTAGTTATATGTGTACTGTCTAATTTTCTGTTTTTATACCAAATCTTTCTTCTGTTCCTGCAATTAGCCCTGGGGCATGAATTTGCAATAAAACTTGTTATATAATTCTTACCTGAGGCTGATTCTAATTTTTACCAGATTCAGTGAATGTTTTGTGAAGATGTGGCCTTGGTGAGTTACCTTTTACTGTGTTGGATAATTTGTTTCAGGTTTAACAGAGTTCTTAATGCACAGACCAGGGTTCAGGGTGCTTCTCAATGCCACTCTTCTGTCAAAGTGCTTCAGGTCCAGACTGTGGGAAAACTCCAAGTTTGTTGCAAAGCAGTTAGACAAAATCGGTAAGGGGTTTTCCAGGAGAGGTATGGGGATGAAGAGGGCACTTTAGATCAAGCAGTCAACCATCAATCAATAAATCAATCAATCAAATAGAGAATATACACCATTTAGAATTGGCAATATCGGCCGCTAGCAATATGTACAATGTTCTTACTTACAGCCCTTAAGCCTCTGAATGTTTTAGTCAAAACAATGTGTAAAACTTTCTGTCTCAAACATAGTTATCTTTTTCTTTAAAACATGCCAGCCTGGGGCTTTCCGCTAATTTTCTCTTCATGATTTAGAAGAGAATTCTAAATCTATCTGCTAAAGTGCACTCAAACTATCTGATGGTTTACAAAATATTCTATGCCCAGGGCTACATACATATAGCCTCCTTCGCAGTCTTGTTGGGCGTGGGCGTTATTTTTGAGCGCGAAACCTTCTCTCCACGGCAAAAACTCCCTCTTCAGCAAATCGTCCCTCGGCATATTACTCGCGTCGCTCACAAAAATAATGCCCACGCCCAACAAGACTGCAAAGGAGGCTAACATACATATGCATATAATTGTAATAGTCTGCAAAGACTCAAATACACGCTGTGTCATTTAATTAATTTAGCAATCATGTTTACTTGTGCAAATCACCCTTAAGCATGATTGATAGGTGATCAAACATGTATATGTAATTATCCTCATTACCTCCTTATTGGTACTGAATGCTAGATTGTTGTAGTTTGCATTTCAGTCACATAATGAGTCTACGTTGATAATATTAGGGAAATTTTGAAAGAATCTTTTAGTCATTCATTGTTGAGTGACAAATGTTTAGTCTTTCAACATGTTGCATAATAATAATAATTATGTTTCAAGATGTTGCATAAAATTAAAGCTTCCTTTCCAGTTGAAAATCTCTTGCCATTAAGAAAACAGTCAGATTTCTAAAAGTTTTTCCAATCAGCATGCAACTGTGAGGGAAACTTAATATGAATTTGATATGCTTCCTCAGGTCTTACCCTGGCGACTGCACTGTTCAATGCTGGTCTGACAAGCTTCCAGAAGATTGAAGAAACAAACCCCAGGGAGATAGAACTGGTACAAAAACTGTACTAATTGTATACCATTAGCCAGTTTAAGTTCTCTTCATCACACAGCTTCACAGGCACACTACATCTGGTTACATAATGCACCAAATTGACTGTCAAATGTAGCCTTTGTACAGTCTAACTTAATGCATTCTGAATGTCAACTGTCTGGATTAATGTCAGTTCTGAAGGAATATTGATAATCATCATCAGGCACATTTAACCCCAAGGTTTACAATACATAATGTATGTTTCACATCCGTTAGTGTCAAACCTCTCTACTGGTGATGAATTGAACAGTGCACATTTGACACTAACTCATGTTCTGAAGCATAAGTCAAAAACTATCACAGTGACTATAGTCAGTGTAATGTGTATCAGTAACATTGTTAATCAGTATATAATATGAATCTAATCCAAATTGATATGATATGACCAGTACATTGTATTAAGCCACCAGTGAGAATATGAATGGAATGAGATAGACCACTCAGTAAGTGTCAGGCCAAACGATCATAACTGGGAACAGTATTATGCTGTTAAATTCAGCCCTAAGGAGATATTCCCTTTTGTATTGCCATTTCCATGCCTCATACTATTTGACCCATCATTTTAGACTTTATGACTCCATATAAACATCATCCACCATGCACTTTGACACTAAATTTGCTTTTAGCAACTTTTTGAAGTTTATACTAAAGATAAAAGCTTGTCCAGGTGAGCATGTCACTTCATTTTATGTCATAGGTCAAAGCTTAAAAGCACCATTAAGCGGTTGAGTTAAGGGTATTCCATTTCCTTTATGATGGATTGAGCTTTCAAATCATTTTGACGGGTCCCTTCTGCGTGATAATGTGCATCATGTTGTCAGTGTCAAGTTACAAGACATGTTTTGGTATTTGAATGAAAGCTCATCTGTGTTGGTAGAGGCCATAGTTATATATATAGTTCAAGCTTTGTTCCAACACAAGAAGTAGACCATAATTTTTTTGTCAATCTCGTCAAATGTGTAATGCTCTTGATGACTTTCTGGAAGCACGATGACATCAGAGGCGCATCAAAAGTGGCAGGAAGATGGAATCTCCCACCGTCATGGTTCTGAGAGGGTTGATGGGCCCTGATGTAAACTGCCCCCTTCACACCCCTCACAAAGTATCATGTTGGAACAAAGCTTGAACTCTATAACTATAGTGACATGTTATGATTTGTTTTTGACAGATCGTGAACAGGCACCCGCCGTTTGGAAACCAGGTTCACGAGGCGGTGTCCCACCTTCCTAAGTACGAGTTGGCTATAGAGCAGGTAAGTAAGAAAACATCATAACTAATGTCGCAGAATGGCAAAATCAATTCCAGAGGAAAAGAATAAAATGTGATGAAATGAAAATGAAGAGTCTGTTATTTGCCATACCAATACTCTTGCGTGTTTAAGTCATTTGTTCATTTCCTAATGAAGGCAACTTTTATTTGCCCAACTTCTTTAGTTGTATGCATCCTTCCCAAGCCCTGTTATTTTTTATCTAAGTATACAAACAGGGTGCCAGATACAGCTCCAAAGTGGCAGAGCTGACAATAGTATTCTCTCTCTCAATTAAATGTCTCATGCATACTTGGATGATTTTGGGTTTCTTGTTTTGCCAACAAGTATATCTCAAATCTAGAACCAATAATTTTTCCTAAACCTTAATTTTTTAAAATTTGTACAAACAGGGTGCCAGATACAGCCCCACAGTGGCAGAGCTGACAATAGTGATCTCTCTCAACAACTACCAAAGTCTGAAGGAGAAGGTGACTGCAGGGAGGAACCACATGTGTGTGCTGCTGATTGGGGATGCTGACAACAACATCATTTGTAAACAAAGACTCAGGTTTGTGTTCTGAATGTATGCAATGCCATGCCCCCCAAATTCCCAGTCAATTTTGGGATGATCAGTCTCTTAACCAGTAACCAATGCAGTAGTGTGTGGACTAAGAGGTTGGATGTTCAAATCCCAGCTGTTGCCGCACTTAGATTATTTACAGTTAATGAATTAATTGTTTATTCATCTTTGAATGTTGCAGTGATTCTACTCTGATGAACAGTGGGACTTGGACAAAGAAGGTGGAGGTGAAGAGAGCTAACAAGGGAGATGATCTGAGCATTAACTTCATCAGTCAAGATTATGGTAGGGTCTCTTACAAACTGCCCTACACATCCAATCAATACATATATTTTACTATTATTTTTAAGCATTACATACATGTATATGCTTGGATATGATCTACTTGTGCCTTGTACTTGTTACATGCAGCACAAAACAAATCACAATATTGACTCTGGGGAGTAAAATATATTACCAGAAATTTGTAGGAAAAGTAGAACTGTATGAAAAAATTTTTATATGGTAAAATGACTGTTTTCTTCACCAGTTGGCCTGGATGTTCAGAGCACCTACACTCCCTTCTACAGTGGTGCCAGAAGGCACCGTGCCACCAGCAAGAACTGGGACCACACTCCTAAACAAAAGGTACAATGTATATCCTACCGGTAATATCCTATCCAACCTTGAAACTTAATGTTACAGAAATATTCCTTTTTGAATACGAAAAGTGAGTGGGTGGGTGAGTGAGTGAGTGACGAGTGAGTGATGAGTGAGTAAGTGATGAGTGAGTGAGTGAGTGAGTGATGAGAGTGTTTGAGTGAGTGAGAGTGAGTGTGAGTGATGAGTGAGTGAGAGTGTGTCTACTGAGTGAGTATGATGCGTGAGTGAGTGATGAGTTACTGAGAGTGAGTGAGTAATGAGTGAATGATATTGATTCTAAACACAAGATTTTTAAAGCCATCATCATATGGACAGGTGTTGCTTTGCATTATATGTGATGTCAAGAATGAATTGAAATTATCAACTATGTTCTGCTGTGGTACCATTGGCATAGCTTTGTTGCATTTTTTTACTGCTACAGTAACTCTGCTACTAGTACTGGACCCATAAAAGTGACTGTTTCCTGGTTTCGATCTTGTATCTGTTGAAATATGTTGCATAAGATCAAGTTCATGGGTCATTTTTTTGCCTGTCAAAAAGATAATTAGATAGATACAGGTCCTCTTTTTGAGCTGTATCCCCCGTAACCTATCTGACTTCCCGAAAATTTTTTTGTGATATGAGTGTGTTTTGGAGATGTATCATGTATTATGAATGAATACATCTCCTCTTCTGACATGGAACTTGTTAATCACAATGATCTAAAATTAATGTAGAAGAGCCAACAAGAAGAAATGGACTGGGACGATTTGGGCACAGATATTGACTGGTCAGCCGAGGTGAATGAAAGTAAGTCAGATGTCCTTGCATGTGTGAAGTCTCAATATATAACTGTACAGTCATGTATTGATTAATGAATAACATGAAAAAAATGGAGGTATTGTCTGTCATAAATTGTCTTTCAAACTAGCATTACTACAAAAGTATAACATATTGTGATTGTGTGATAATTATAATGTTATTTTGAGGTAATATGAACTTTTCCAAATGTGTTCCATGAACAAAAGTTTCTTTTATTGTTTGTCCTCAAATTATAAATTGACATAGACAGTCACAATTGTATATAGAAGATGGGATTTGTTGTTTTATTTTATTGTATGCAGCTTCAGTTAACTTTTTTTGATATGCAATATGACATAACCAGCAATATATGATTTTGAATGTTGTATGAATGACATAACACATATTTGACACAGAACATATTTGATATTTGATAGATGACAGCATTGCAGTGACACATATAGAAGATGTGATTTGATTTGTTTTATTTTATTGTATGCTTGTTGTATGCTTGTATGTTATTGTATGCTTGTCTTTTATTATTTCAGTGACATCACTATGTCAATATATAATTTTGAATGTTGTACATGTATGAATGAACAATATATTTGATAGATGACAGCATTGCAGTGACACATATAGAAAATGTGATTTGTTGTAAAGTTTTAATTTATTGTAAGCTGTTTCAGTTAACATTTTTTGACATGCAACATGACATGACCAGCAATATAATTTGAATGAATGAATGAACACATTTGATATTTGATAGATGACAGCATTGCAGTGACACATAATAGAACATTGTGATATGTTGTTTTATTATATGCTGTTTCAGTTAATTTTTTTTTGATATGCAATATGACATGACCATGTCAATATATGATTTTAAATGAACAACATGTGATAGTTGATAGATGACATCTTGTGATGTGATTTCTTGTAAAGTTTTATTTTATTGTATGCTGTTTCAGTTACATTTTTTTATATGTAATATGACATGCCCTGCTATATAATAATAAATTATTGTGAATGTTGTACATGTATGAATGAACAATATATTTGATATCTGATAGATGACAACGTTCCAGTGACACCCAGAAGACTGCTGGGTCCTGACAGAAAACCCTGTAACCATCGCTGCATCAACAAGGATGCCTGTGCTCACGAGTGCTGCAAGTTCGGAGTCAAAACTTTCCCAAAGACAGCACGGCAAAGGACCAACAGAGACAACAACATGTCCTCCTACCTTCATCAACTACACAACAGAGCTCAAGCTCTGCCTCAGACTCCTGGCATGAAAAGACTCAAGGTTCTCAATTCCTTAAAACGTTGCTTGATCAAGTATAGTAATCAACAAATCTTTAATTGTATGTTAATGCCCATGGGGTGTGATGTTACATGTACATCATACTGAGTAACATGACACATACAATATGTAGGATACAAGGATAACAGAATAACGTAAATTTAAAGTTTTAACAACTACTAGGGAATAAACTCATCTAGGTCTTGAAGATTTAATAATAGCAGCCATATAGCCTATACATGTAGGTTGATGATACTGATGTAAAGCTTTAAATTTATGTTTCTATGTTAAAAATTACATCCAATTGGCATTCTCTTGATGATCTAACAGCTTATCCAGCAAGATCATTTTAACTTAATACTTGCCCAGAGGATAATTATAAACAAAAACACATTATGATGATATCACTTTCAATTAAGCTTAAGTGAGTGATTACTATTACTTATAGTAATCCTTCCATGGCTTTTTTCATACAATTCTATAGTACACTCAGTTTGTTTGTTCGTTTGATATATTCTTTATTCATAAGAAGCTCAAATTGGCCTTCAGGCCACTTTTCATTGAGGTCATGAGAGAAGAGGTAAGGGTGACTTACTTACTTAGACTTAGGGGCTCCCGCGTCTCGTGACGCATGAGGCAGTCAAAGCAGCCCAGCTTCCTCTGTCAGCAGCCAGCCTCAAGGCTTCCTTCCAGCTCATGCTGACTGCCTGAAGGTCCCTCTCCACTGTCTGTCGCCAGTTCATCTTCGGGCGCCCCCTCCTTCTCCGTCCTTCTGGGAACCACTGTAGGACTTGGTTGGCTAGTCTGACAGGTGGAAGTCTGACAGCGTGTCCTAACCAGCTGAGCCGGCGTTTGCAGATGGTGGAGGACACTGGTTGCTGCTTAGTTTGAAGTCTGATGTTATTATTCGAGATAAAGTCATCCCATCTAATGCCCAAGATTTTCCTTAGACACTTGCTGTCGAAGGCATCAAGTCTCCTTTCTTGACTTAGTTTCAGGTGCCAGGTTTCGCAGCCATACAAAAGTGTTGACAGGACGTTGCTGTTGTAAAAGCGCATCTTGGTCTTGAGGGACAGTTTCTTGTTTCTCCAGAGTTTGCCCAGCTGGTTAAATGCTGCTGAAGCCTTACCAACTCTGCAGTCAAGTTCTTTGTCCATGTCACCATTGCTATTGATGGAGCTTCCAAGATAAGTGAAGTTTTGAACTATTTCCACTTCCTTCCCATCAATGAACACAGATGTAGGTGGCGGATGAGATCCTGTCAGCATATTCTTGGTCTTCTTGCCACTGATGGTGAGGCCTATTCCTCCTGCTGTGGAACCAATCTGGCTCACTAGGGCCTGGAGGTCCTTTGTGGATTCTGCTAAGCCGGCAATATCGTCTGCGAAGTCAAGATCAGACAGTCTTTGTCCTTGCAGCCATGGTATTCCTTTATCCTTAGTTGACTGTTGCAGCACCCAATCTATGGCAAGGGCAAACAGAATTGGAGACAGCACACATCCCTGGCGGACCCCAGTCACTACCTCAAACCACCCGCTGAACCCATCATCTGTCCTTACACAGCATTTGGAGTCAGCATATATGTGTTTGATGGCTGAAATGACTTTGTTGGGTAGTCTGTACATTTGCATGATGTTCCATAATGAGGGCCTGTGAATGCTATCAAACGCTTTAGTAAAGTCAATAAAGCTGATAGCCAGTGTGGACTGAAACTCATTGCACTTCTCTATTATGCGTCTCAGGGTGAATATTTGTTCCGCACAAGATCGCTTGGGTCGGAATCCTGCCTGCTGCTCCCTCAGTTCTTCGTCAACTGCATCTCTTATGCGGTTCAGGATAGCATGGCAGTAGACCTTTCCTGGGATGGACAGGAGTGTAACCCCTCTCCAGTTGTCGCATTCTGCAAGGTTGCCTTTCTTGGGGATGCAAACCACTACTCCATTTCTCCAGTCCTCTGGTACTTCCCCCGGTTCCAGGCATTGTTGCAGAGCTGGCACATCCATTTGACAACGGATTCCCTTCCAGCTTTTAGCATTTCTGCAGTAATGCCGTCCATTCCTGGGGACTTGTTGTTCTTCAGGTTCTTTATGGCCTCATGTATTTCCGGCTCAGTAAAGTCACTGGTGTCAATCGGGAGGAGGTGAGAGGGTGGGTCGGTGACTGCTGGTGAGGTTGGGTCTGGTCTGTTTAGAACTTCCTTGAAGTGCTCTGCCCACCTGGCAAGCTTGTCCTCTCCTTTGGACAACAGGGTACCATCTTTGGCCTT